CCCGGGTCCAACCATTTTCATAGATAGGCCGGGTCGGGGCCTGTGCAGGTTTTGCCGAGGCGATCTGGGTCTGGAGCCCGGTTCGGCCCAGAAAACTGGGCTTGCTGGGTCCGGTCTGGACACCGGGCCGCTAACCTATTTGGACAGCGCTATTAGTAAAGGTACATATTGCATATACAATTAATCTTTTTTCTCTCTCTCGGAACATTTTACTTGGAAAACTAAATGGAGGTGATAATTTTGGGGGAAAGACATGTTTGTGTGCGTGGTGGGAGGCAGTAGTAATCGATGCTGGCATCTTTGTTCACGCACGCTCCAGCAATCGGCATCGGACGTAACATCTCTCCCAGCAAAACGACAGGCAATGTATATACATCATCGTAGTTTGAGATGTAACGGTAATTCTTTAAAAATTTTTTCCTTTTCTATTATTTAATCCTTTGGACGAAATGTCGGCTAAGTACTCTTGTTGAATGCTTCATCTTTTATACGTCTCCTACTTGGAACAATGTAAATACTATTTTTAATCACAATCTAGCTACTTGAATCAGCGGAAAATCGAAAATAAGAAGGAAGAATATTAAAAAGGAAGAGTATTTTCCTGGTGAATATGGAAAAGATATGGATAATGCTTACGTTAAATAAAGTATAATATGGTGAAATGGAATAAAACTTTTCACGGAGGTACGACCATATAAGTTAATTAACATTAAATATATATTATTCATCATCAAATGGTTCAATTGAGACAACTATTATTAGGAAAAGAAGTAGTATAATAACTAAACACGAGAGTTATACTATTCTTGTACTCCTACACACAAAAAAAGTTAAATCTTTTTTCGTAAATTGTAAAGAAAATTATCAGTTGCAATAGACCCCACTTCTTTATGTCTAGAAGTACAAGAATAGTTTAGTTCTTATAGTATATTTATCATTTTCCTAAAAAAAAGAGGAGTGTAATCTATTAAATTCTCCACAATATAAGAACCAAGTTGTTCGTGGATCATTGTTATTCATTAGAAGAAATTATCATATTTCTCATGAATTGCAGTCATTTTTTTAGTTTGTATGTAAGAAGAAATCACGGTTACGTATTTAATAAAAGACAATTATGATTAAAAGTATTAATCTTTTAGTTTGTTTGACATGTGAAACAATCCGAATCTTCTAAAATATAGGATTCCTTTTCCTAGAAGCCATCTTAAAAATAGAGTAATTAAACATAAATTATTTTTCATTTTCAATTTATACTTAAACCACCTATAAAATGAGTTTGCGTCACAATCACTAGCCTCATAGTCAAATTTCCACTAAAAAGAATAAAAAATAAGCTTAAAATTTTCACGTTCAAGCAACGTGACTTGTATGGTAACACAAGATCAAGCATTATTAATAAAGTGATTCATGTGCCTTGAGTGTAGATTTTAAAGATGATGATTGATTGCAATAAAAACTCTCTTTAAAGATGATTTATGTATAATTTAAAATTAAAAAGTTGTTTTCATATAATTACCATATTTTTAATGTGATTTTTAGGGGGGAAACCCCTAATATATATATGCATACAGACACTAGCAAAAGGAGAGCAACAGTTGCGACCAGTTACATTTTAGTTGCCTGATGCGTGTGTATCGTAGTAAATGGCTTCCGCTTGTCTACGGCGATATCCCTAATCCCATATACGAAATTTATCCCACAACTTTTGGGTGGAAATGTGGCCTAAAAACAAAAGCTACAGATCCAAACACCATCATCTCCCTGTGCCCCCCCTCATCTTTCCATGTATAAATGCCATATATACACATCATGCGTCTCACATTCACCTACATATCTCTCCCCTCCCGGTACAAAATCAGCACCCCACGAGCTCACCCCCATCCTCTTCCCAATTATTTAGTCTCCCCTCCTTATCCCTTCACCTCCATCTCCAATCATTAACCTCCCCGCTCCCCCTCTTTCCCCTTTTCCTCTCCTCACGCCTAAAGTGCTAACAACACACACCAGCTAGACTTCCCAAATCTTTACAGTCTCCTTCCCTCTTCCATGGCTTTAGAGACATGGCTCACTCGAGTCAAGTCCGCCATCCGCTCTTCGATGACCCAAGAGACCTCATCAGTGATATGGCTCACTCGAGTCAAGTCCGCCATCCGCTCTTCGATGACCCAAGAGACCTCATCAGTGATCCTCACCAAGAGGTCCTCCACCGTCGGCATCCTCGCCTTCGAGATCGCCAGCCTCATGTCCAAGCTCGTCCATCTCTGGCGATCCCTCTCCGACTCCCAAATTTCTCGCCTCCGCCACGAGACCATCGCTCTCGAAGGAGTTCGCAAGGTCGTCTCCGACGATGACGGGCTTCTCCTGGGGCTGGCCTTCGCCGAGCTCGCCGAGGCCCTCCGCCTCGTCGCCGCCTCCACGTCTCATCTGAGCAAGCAATGCGCCGATCAGGAGCTCCGCAGGTTCGACCAGAGGTTCAAGAGCTACGCGGACTCGGGCGCGGATCCGAGTCGGTGGGCGATGAGCGCAAAGGAGATGGACTCCAGAGTCAAGAAAATGGATCGACTGATAGCAGCAACAGCGGCGCTTTATAAAGAGATGGACGAATTAGCCGACTCCGAGCACGGGTTGAAGAAAATGATCGTCCAGAGCAAACCGAACAAGATGACGGCGGTCGCCGACGTCCAGCAGAAAATCTTCTGGAAGAGACAGGAAGTCAAGTACCTGCGACAGAGCTCGCTTTGGGGATCCACATTCGACGGAGCGATCTCGCTTCTGTCCCGATCGATCTTCACGATTCTTGCGCGAATCAAGCACGTGTTCGGCATTGACACTACGACCGCAATCCCTCGCTCGCCGTCGGTGTCAGCGGCTGTCCATCCCGATTCGCCCCTAAAAGTCGGCTCTTTGTCGAGCTCGAGCCCCAGGTGCGATCTTTTCGAGCTGAGTTCATCGATGATCACTCCGCCGGAGTCAACCCTAGGAGCAGCAGCGCTCGCGACGCAGTACGCGAACGTGCATGCATGTGATGACGAAGATGAATTCGAACGCCGAGAGCGGTGGGCCGCGATGCGAGGGACGATCTGTACTCGATGGCTGCGAAGAGTGTGAGGGGTTATTGAGGAGCAGACTGAGAGGTGGTTGTGGTGGGAGCGACGGGGGATGAGGGTTTGGGCTGGAGTGGAGGGCTGGCCATTGGGCCGGATTTGGTTGAAGGGATTGGGCGCGTTGCCCCATAATAGATTAGGTGGGCAGGGGAGGCGAGACTTTGAGAGGCGGAGTGTGCGCGGCGGTGGCCCAGCGGCAATGTGCTTTGTTGCAGACGCTTGTACTTGGCCGAACAGGGAGAAGGTGAGGCCGGGGTGGGCGGAGTTGTTGGTGGGGTTGAATTACGTGTGGAGATTTGAGATGGAGATGTGTTTGGATCGGGGTTTAGGTTTCTGAGGAATTGGAATTGGGATTTTGGGGGATTTTGATTTTTGATTTTTGATTTTTTTTTTAGGTTTGGGTTTTGGTTTAATATATGTCGCCGTTGGATTGGAAATGGCCGGTTGAGATTTGTATAAAGCCACATGATGTTATCCTTCGTGGTGTGATCTACTAACAAAAGGTATATTTTTCTTTGATCGCTTTCTTCAATTCCTTTGCCTTTCCTTTTCTACGGTACATTATCTTTTGATGTCTACTTACTTTTCGTCATTCGATTTTTTTTTTACTTTATGTATGATAGGGGAATGTGTGATCGATTGTTCTGATGGATTTTTAAATTTACATAATATATGTATTATAGGAGTAGTTTTTTTTTTCTTTTTCTTTTTGTTTGTTTGTTTTTGTACTATAACCAGAACAACGGACCCCTCCACTTTAATTTTTATTTTTTTTCTACATTGGGTATTGGTAGGGGTGGCAAACGGGTCGACCCGACCCGACCCGACCCATATAAAATTTGACCCGACCCGTATAAGTGTGACCCGACCCGACCCGTTTAATAAATGGGTCAATGTGATCCGACCCGTTTAATAAAAGGGTTACCCGACCCGACCCATATAACCCGAATAACCCGTTTATCTAATACAAGACATATCCTAACACATAACTAATAAATTTTTTTATACAAGCACAAAAGAACACTACTTGCAAGCTCTTTAGACAAAAACTATCAATACTCACAACATGGAGTTATTTCAAAGACATGTTCAGTATTTAAATGTATTTCAACGAATTGCAACTATCGGCAAACAAAAATACAATCAATGCAGCTCTTTAGACAAAAAAAATCTAAATTTCAACAGCAGCAGCAACAACAACTACAACAGCAAACATATCACAGACCAAAGAAACCAAGATCAGTAGCTCTCTCCTTCTCAAATGTTTCAAAATACTGGTATATAACTGTCACAGCAAGCAAAATACCCGTTCCTGAACCAATTGCACCCATGAAAATGACTAAAGATTAGTCAAAATCCTGAGAATTGTGAGGCAAGAGTACAATCTTCAACCAGGTAAACAATTATGCGAGTACCATAAATGACATGTCCAAAAACTGATAAGACCTAATACATATTGCTGCAGTTTCCAACTTATATTAATACAGTTCTATTCAAATAAGTTCATGATCACAAGGTGGAGAATCAGATTGCAGAGGACAAAATCAGCAAAAGCTCGCTCCGGTGGCAAGTCCTGCAACGAGAGGGTGGATTTGTTAATAAAAGGAAGTGCAGCTCACAGGCAATATGATGCTTTCTGGATAAGATGATTTTGTACAAAATTACCTTGAATTCCTTGTTGTCTTTGTAACTTTGTTAACTTGGATGCGAAAACTGCAAGTTCATAGAAGCAAAAAAAGAAACATGTAGTAAGTGGAATAGTATCATATGACATAAGGATTATTCGCTTATGAATTTTTTACCTGCAAGAACTGCAGTACCAACACAGAAGAAGAGAACACGTAAAGCACAAATGCAAGTCCCAAAATCCAAAAGAACCAATTTTATAAATTTACAATGAGGATAAAAGGCAATCATATTTAAACAAAATAGTCTTCTTATGCAAACAACATGATGATCATGTAGAAATTTCTTTATGTACCTTTCCAGAGGCTTTCTCAAATGCTGCCACCATTTCTAAAACAGATGTTCCCTTTCCAGTTTCTAGATTATAGGCTTCACATCCTGAGAGAAAGGGAACTCAAATAACCAGAGCAGCTTTTAACAAAAGGAGAAAAAAAAACATATATGCACACGCTTCAAGAATGACAAACAACCAAAATCACAGAAAATATATTGACCATGACAATTTCACACACTTAACAAAGGATGAAGAAGTGCAGAAGTTGAATCCAGGAAGTAGTATCATCCAACATTTTTAACTATAAGATCAAAAGCATTACTTTAGCTATTTTGTCCCTTCACTATTTAGCAACTGAAGCTTTCAGGTAAAAATTTATGTAAGCTATTTTGTCCCTTCACTATTTTGTCCTGGGTTGGACTCTTCCCAAGTTCTCCTTGCCAGGAAGGCACTCTGGACCTCTTAGGAAGAAGGGGGGATCCCACTATAGAAGAAAGAAAAATGACTTACAATAAGATGTGCAGGCTATTGTAATGTATGAGAGCCAGATGTGCAGGATATCAAAGGTAGACTAATGTTGGCATAGATTGTATAGGGGTATATAATATGTTCGACAAAAACTTGCACAAAATTTTCTTACCTTCAGCTACCGCATCATAGTATGAGAGATTCATACTTGTGTTGGCATAGATTCTCCAATATCTAATTGCATGATATCCTCAGAAAGCTCATCTAATTTTGGTTGCATGTCATCTATCATTAATAAAACAATAAAAAACCATTAAGCAAATTCATAACATGTATTCTGATGCAAAAAACATAAAAAATATAACATTAGTCTACCTTTGATACCATATAACCAATCACGTGTGCAAACTAAAGCCTCCACATTGTTAGGCTTAAGAGTGCTACGGTATTGGTTAAGGATTCTCCCACCTACACTGAAAGTACTCTCTGAAGCAACCGTAGAGATAGGAACTGCCATTATGTCCCTTGCCAATAAAGAGAGCTCGGGGTATCTATGCTCATTAGTCTTCCAAAATGAAAGAATGTCGAGTTGAGCACCACGGTCAAGTCTTGGTTCATCCAAATAAAGTTCTAATTGGGTCTTTTGAGAGCTAATAATTTCTTGGCTTTCAAACGAGTCGAATTCCTAAATAAAAAAAGATACGTAAAGTACATTTGAACAAATAAGTAGCTACTAAAGCAAATCAATTTAATATTAGACCCTAACATCTTTAGTATCTTAAAATATGTCCCTCTATTCACTAATTGCTATTAGATTACCCACTTCTTATATCTCACTATGATTGCACCTAAATGGAGTGACTAATTCCGAACTCTTCATAAGAATGCTTTGAAAACAGTAGCATAATAAGAGATTAATGAAATAGATAAACTTTTAAGCAGACGAGCATGTAATAAATCCATGAGGCAGGGCGACCAACAGAGAATAACGCATGTGAAGAGACCAAGCACACATAGGAAACTACTCAGAGTCACAAGGCATAATCTTTTTTCTACAGTTTCATAATCAAGCATAAAACAATAAGTTTGCAACCTGAGAATATTTGAGACAGGAGTACTGAAAACGTAGTATGAACCCAGTGTCAAAAACCTCCTATTGTCTATTTATGTCACGGGAACAGAACAACGCCAAAACACAAAACACAATGATATCTGCCTACCACTGCTTTACTTTTGCATGTTACAATGCGGAAACAATATAAATACATGCAAAAACAATAAAAACTAAGAGATAAACTAATTGCTTGAGAAAGAAATTACCCTCAAGATATCAATGCAATCTTGATCAAATGTGTCATCATACACACGAGAAGTTCCCTCCTTGCTTGATTTCTCCAAGTTTCTTCTTCTATCACCATCCATATTGCTCAAGTACTCATTAAAGAGAGAGAAAAGCTTGTCTTTCACCTTATTAAGCTCCGTAGAATTGTGTCCATATAGGCCATAATAGCAAAACTCTACAAATTGCATTTTGTATCGGGGATCCAAGATGCACGCAATAGCAAGTAGAACATTGTACTCACTCCAATATTTTTCAAATTTCTTGTACATTTTGGTTGCTATTAATTTAACATATTCATCATCATCTTTCATCCCACTCTTTAAAGTACGTTGCACAACAAATACTTGAAGAAAGTAGAGATTAGCCGTTGGATAATTTGTACCGGAGAAAAGACAAGTGACGTTATAGAAAGTGGCTAATAACCTCTTAACCTTCTCGGCCTTATCCCATTCTTCTTGAGATGGACAAAGTCTTGAGTAGTTGGAATCACTCAATTGCATGTGTATAAATGCACGGCGATAGTATAAAGCACTCTCAAGCATTAGAAAAGTAGCATTCCATCTTGTAGGAACATCTTGCCTTAAACTCTTCTTCACCTCCAAAGATTCATGAGAGACACATTCCCAAAATTTTTGTTTTCTAATTTGAGAGCCTTTTATATACTTGACGCTTTCTCGAATTTTATCAATACAACCATGGACTTCTTTTAAACCATCTTGGACAATCAAGTTGAGGATATGGGTACAACATCTAATATGAAAAAATTCTCCCTTCCCAAGAAGTGCTTCTTTCAAATTAAGTTGTTTTTTCAATAAATCAACAAAAACATCATTTGCGGAGGCATTATCAAGAGTGAAAGAAAACAACTTCTTTTCAATTTTCCAATCAACTAACAACTTATAGATCTTCTCACAAATGGCAACACCGGAATGAGGAGGTGGCATATAAGAAAAGTTAAGAACCCGATTTTGTAATTTCCACTCATGATCAATGTAGTGTGCCGTGAGACAAATATATCCGTCGGTGGCTATTGATGTCCACAAATCAAGTCAAGTTAATTCTACCCGGAATCGATTCAAAAGCTTCTTTTAGCCTATTTTTCTCTCTTCCATAGATTTTAAGAACATCGGCTTTAACCGTATTTCTTGATATGTGTTTTATATCCTCACAAAGATAAGAGAAGATAGCTCGAATACCTTCATACTCAACAAATTGAAATGGCAAATCGTGCATAATGATGGCCGAGACTAAGAGCTCCCTAAACTTATCCGGGTCAAAATTAACTCTTGAGGAACTCATTATAGAATCTTTTGAGTTAGATAGACCCTCAATATCTTCTCTAGTAGCTTTCTTACAAATTTTCATGTGTCTTAACATGTTCTTTGTCCCATGGTTACCTTCGGCGATGTATTTGACTCCACACTTCTTACATACTGAATATTGTTTCCCACCTGGCTCTTGAACAAGGTCAAACATTTTCCAAGCTTTGGACGTTAATTTTCTTTTTCGACTTCCAACAATTATCGCTTTTGATTTTTTCTGAACAGGACTAGACATGTCTTCTAATTCTTCATTAGATGAATCTGCTTCTACATTATCGGCTATAGAATTAGACTCCATTAACTGTGATGAAAATTACATAACTACATAAGATTAATAAAATTAAATAAAATTCAACAGATAACACAAATTAACTGATTCTAAACAGAATTAACATTTGAGTATGAAGAAACTTAAGTGCGCATATAG